TTGGAGGGGGACAAGAATAAAGGAGGGGGACCTGCGAGGAGGCTACTGCAGAAACCTGGGCACAAGATCAGTTTGGCTTGGATTAGGGGAGAGTGCATCAGTGGAGAGGAGAAGTGAGGGCTTTGAGAGGCATCGCGTGTCACTCCTGTGAGTGATCCTGGGAAAGAATGGGCCCTACTGAGTGTCTGCACTGTCTCAGTCAGTTGGCATGATGACAGGGAGGCACCGAGCAACCAGGTTAATCCCACTTGGAGGATAAGGAAATAGGCTCAGTGGCATTAAAAATAGAAGTGGTGCCCTGGCCGGCATGGCTCGGGGATTAGAGCGTCGATTCCAGTCAAGGGCATGTACCTGGGTTGCAGGTTCCCCGCCTTAGCTGGGGTGCATTGGGGAGGCAACCAATTGATGTGGCTCTCTCACATCAGTGCTTCTCTCTCTCCTTTCCCCCTCCCTTCTACTCTTTCTAAAATCCAGGGGGAGGAATATCCTCCAGTGAGGATTAACAAGAAAGAAAGAAAGATAACACCACTGGTGTGATGTTAGAGGTTGGTGCACTGTGCTACAGAGCACATAAGTTCCAAAATTCCATCCTCAGCTTTCTTCTCTCTCTCTGCATTGGGGCCCTGGGTGATATCATCTAATTTCCAATTTCAGCTACCACCTTCGTGCTGAGGATCCCCAAATGTCTATTTCAACCCAGGTCCAGCCCTGTTACCTCTGTATGTTCTGTGATAGTCTTTTTATCTGTGTCCCAGGGGCACCTTAAACTCAGCACACCCAAAGCTGACCTTCATTTCTTTCCCCTAAACCCTGCTTATCTCCCTGTCTCACTCTCTCAATGGAAAACCATCTACCCCCTAAGGAGCATGCCCAGCTGTCCCTACACTGCCACCCACTGGCTGGGCAGAGCTCAGTTCCCAGGACGCCCGCCCGGTGGCAATGGGCAGGTTTGGTGGGTTCCATCCTGACTTGGGCTTCTCTTGGATTCCCGTCGCTGGGAGCCCTGTGAAGTGAAAGGAAGCATCTCTGCAGGAAAAGGAACTAGAAATGCCATGGAGACGAAGGGGGACAGGGCAGAAAGTGACCGCTGTGGCATGCAGAGGCCTGGGCCCGTGGCCCTGAGCCTGCAGGTTTCTGTGGAATCAGGCTGAGAGTTGAGAACTCAAGACTATCGCTGTTTCACAGATTAAACTGCAGATTCAGCCAGAAACTGGAATTTCCCTGCGTCCCTCCAGCCGGAGCGATGCCTAAGGAGCATGCCCAGCTGTCCCTACACTGCCACCCACTGGCTGGGCAGAGCTCAGTTCCCAGGATGCCCGCCCGGTGGCAATGGGCAGGTTTGGTGGGTTCCATCCTGACTCGGGCTTCTCTTGGCTTCCCGTTGCTCGTTGCCCTGTGAAGTGAGAGGAATCACCTCTGCAGGAAAAGGAACTAGAAACGCCATGGAGACGAAGGGTACAGGGCAGAAAGTGACCACTGTGGCATGCAGAGGCCTGGGCCGGGGGCCCTGAGCCTGCAGGTTTCTGTGGAATCAGGCTGAGAGTTGAGAACTCAAGACTATCGCTGTTTCACCGATTAAACTGCAGATTCAGCCAGAAACTGGAATTTCCCCGCGTCCCTCCAGCCTGAGCGATGCAGGGCACGAGGCTCCTGGTCACTGCCTCTCATGAAAACCAGTGTGGGTGGCGCCCCTGGAGCCGGGCAATGCAGTGGGTCCTGGCAGAGGGTGACCGGCCCCTCCACTTCCTCCTCCCACCCGTCTCCCCAGCCAGAAGGTACCTGAGGGTGAGGAGAAGGAATGTTGGCCAGAGAGACTGGCTGCTGAGAATAAAGGCTAGTGGGACCCACTTCAGACCGAGGGTGCAATCTGTGGCTGGTCAGGCACAGGTGTGACTTGAGAAATGTGAGTGTCTCCCAGCTTCAAGTCTCCCCTGTTCGGGCAATGCAGTGGGTCCTGGCAGAGGGTGACCAGCCCCTCCACTTCCTCCTCCCACCCATCTCCCCAGCCAGAAGGTACCTGAGGGTGGGGAGAAGGAATGTTGGCCAAGGCCAGAGAGACTGGCTGCTGAGAATAAAGGCTAGGGGGACCCACTTCAGACCAAGGGTGCAATCTGTGGCTGGTCAGGCACAGGTGTGACTTGAGAAATGTGAGTGTCTCCCAGCTTCAAGTCTCCCCTGTGGCCAGGAACAGTGGCCAGGACTTCATTCCTTCCAGTAATGTTATTGTCCCTTATAAATGCAGCCGTCCCTCATCCGACTATTGTAACAATATGAATTCACTCACTGGCTTCCTTTCCTCAGGAGGGGCCGTTGGATCAAGAAGTACAGGGTTTCAACATTAAGCATAGAGGAGTTTTTAAAAAGAAAAGAAAAAGCAGGGAATTTGGGCCCAAGCTAATTTTACCCACAGCTCTGCAAGTCTTGACGGGGAGTGGGGGGAGGTTAATAGACTGTATTATCACTGAAAACTGTATGAAATAATGTAAACTAAATACAAGCATGACTAGATGAAAGTAAGAATGTGCCTTTCAAATCACGAGGAAAAAAACAAAGAGAACATACATTGAAAAGGTTGTAAAACAGAATAGTATGGATAATCCCAATTTTACAGAAACATGAAATGTAAATTCTGTGATGTCACTCGCCCGCTTAAAATTCTTCAGCGGCGTCTCATTGGCAATGAGATAAAGTTAAACCTCGAGGTCAACAAAAGCCTACGTAATCTGCCTCCATCTATCTTCCTAGTCTCAGGTTTTGTTGTTGTTGTTGGTTTGTTTGTGTTGGCCATGCCTCTCTGTGGAATCTACACCTGGAATGATCATTGTTGGAACCTCCGAATCTCTCTGAAC